GCAGTAATAGACTCCGCAAGTACGACGTTCAGGTATGCAATGACTAAAGTAGTAGGTTTGAAACGATATCTCGATCTGTCTAGAATCGACTCCTCAACGGTTCACAACTGCTCAACGGTCTCATTCTACGTAAGAAAATGTTAGAGGACGTGTGTAGGAGCGGAGAAGGCATCCTGGGGGTATCCTACAGAACCGAGCTCCATCCGTTTTTGCATCAAAACTGCTCATCTGATGAGGTAACTATTTTTCCAAAAGCATTATTTCATTGTGTGAACTAATAGCAAAATAGTGAAAAATATGAAATTTACAGTGTGAAAAGGAAGTACGTGTAACGTTACATTCTCATATCGTATTTTCTTCTTTGCAGCCTTTTTCCTATTTATTCTTCTATCTTGTATTTAATACCACAACTTCAATTTGCCTTATATTAATGGAAATGGTACATTCAAAAAATCATGTTGTAACAAATCCATGGACCTCAAAACATATTCGTGTTTGTGTTGGCAAGTGAGTGTGACGTATCTACGCGTGTCGCCCCGGCAGGTGCATCGCTGCCATTCTGGGCTGCATCTTTACGTGCCGTTGAAGACGCGGAGTTATTCCCGCATATGCGAAACTGGAAGTAACATCGCCCGATAACCCTGAAGTCGAAGACGAAATTTGGCCCAAGGACACAGACGATTCTCCGCAGAGAAAAATTCGTCGCTCCTACCAATCGCTCTGTGGATTCATATAAAGTAAGACGTAACGTTCTTAATTTTGTTCCGTGCGGAGGTGTTTTCAACGTACGAATGCCAACTTTGTCGAAGATGGTGCATCTTGGTGTGGACGGCCTGGATCTGTGTCCTCTGCTGTCCTGGATTTTCATTCTAGTGTCGGATTGGCCAGCTGCCTCCCGTTCCCCAGAGGGCTGGGGGTGGGTAGGACAAGGACTGGTTTAGTATTTACAGTTTTTTTCCGTTAAAGGTAGTTTGAATTGGAAGGAGAGAAGAGTATGAAAAGAGAGCAGAGATGTTATGCATTTAGGGGTTAGAGGAGGTAGAAAATTTGGTAGGGGGGCTTTTTTTTGAGGGGTTATTTTGTTTAGGGTTTTGTCGTCGCGTTTCGTGAGTTTTAATTTGTTGGGAGTTTTTAGGTGGGAGGGGGGGGAGTTGAAGCTCTTTTCGGGAATGACGCGGGGGGAGTAGAGAATGTCGGTGAGGTTGAATGAGGTGGGTGAAGATGGGATTGTTTATGAATTGCTGTACCGTGTCTCCTAATGCCAACTACAAGTGCTAAACCTTCGGCAAAAGCAAGCGTTGCAGGTCGTTCCACTTTGCAGTCAGATTTCGCATCAAATTGTATTTCAGAATATTCGGAGGACGGGAAAATACCCCTGCCCAGGTCCGACGCGAGGCCAAAAAGGCGCCGTGCACCGTGTACCTCTCGGTCACGAGGAGGAGAGAGAATTAGCAGAATGAAGGCCAGATGAACATTCAACAGTAAAACTGTTTTTTGGTTACTTAAGGTCGCATCGACTGGTCATTAGCGACCACTATAGCTTGTAACGGTATGGTAACTGTGAGGATGACACGATATGATGACGATGATGATTATAGGTTGTGAAAGGACGAACACAATACAACCATGACCGAGGGACTCGAACCCGCGATCCTTCGATCCGAGATCGCTATTGCGTTACTGCCTTAGCGATCTCTGCCGCCGGATTAGCAACAGTAAAAGTTATTTTTTCGGAAGGTAAACTCCATACTTTAGAAAGGAAATATGGCAGTGATCTGAATTACGTATCATCAAGCTCTGATTAGTGTAAAGAAAATTGCATTAATTTCATTTTAGAGAAAAACGTGTGTAGATTTTCAGATTTGTCATTGAATAATGAATTGAATAATTAGTTTTTATTTCTTTGAGATTACAAAAGCAAAGTATGCTAACAATCTCAATATTACCATAATTTATAGAAACAGCTGTGTAACGTGGTTTTAAGACCGGAGAATTAATTTTATAGAAAACAGGTTTGCAATCTCAAAAGATAATTTTTCGTAAAATAATTTTACATAATACTTTGAACAATAGGAAGGATCCTTAGGGACTTTACATGATTTACATTTTATGAATATCATACAGTGTCCTTTTTAAGGGCATTATTTTTGGGTTAAAGTTTAGTATACGGTACACCCTTAGAGAAGCGTGGCGGCGGGGCTTAAGCCCTAATTACTGTATGTGCTGTAATAGAAATGAGTAAAACTTACGAATAGGAGATTTTCATGGTTCACCCTTTATATGCTTTGTCCCAGCCGCATTATAACGCCAATTTAATTTCAAAAGGCAAGTTTTCTCGCTTCGCTCGCCCCGATCCAAGTCACGGCAAGGCTCGGGCCTTCGACCCTCGCGTTCACTATAAACATCCTTGAATCTATCCAACGCATAATTACCAATTCACTTTTATAAGAAAGAACTTTTTAAGAAAGCTTTCAGAATTCTAACTTCCTAGTTAACGCCGGAACGGCGCGAAGTGCCGGGTTAAACGACTTCTTTAGGTTGTACCGTATACATCATTTCAGCCTATTTTTGTTGTGTGCAATTGCTTTTGCCTATTTTTGTGCAGTGCTCTGTTCGTGTATTTCTCTTTTTAGAAAGTGTTCATGTGGGTGCTATTATATTGTGAATGTAAATATTTAAATTGAGTCAAGGTACTTTGTTCCCTTCTTTACCCATGTTATCATTTTTGACATTAATTTTTTTAAATTTTTTATTGTGGTCAAGTAAAAGCATAGGGCCATGCGCCATCGTAGAGATGCTACACACTTGTGGGTAGTTAGTGCCTGTGTGCTACATAGAAGCCCCAACGACATACGAACAGTGGATGCAGACCTATCACGAGTGAGGTGGGTGCAAAAGTTGCACTGAAAGAGTGCATGAGTTCACACACACCACGAGGGACTCAGTACAAAATGTGTTACTTTTTTGTATCACAGTAATGTTTAACGTGTTTTACATGAATAGCATGCACATTTTTAATCGGTATAACGAATATAACAATAATTTTCTTAATCCATTTCATACAACAGTTTTAGTACATTAAACGTGAATGGAGTTTTACGCACACAATACTTCAGCCATTTGCGATTTATGGTGTTCCAAGATTGACTGATTATCGGCGCGTCAACGGCTAAGAACATTAGTCCCGTAAGTGTAGTGCATGTTTTTCCTTGGTCTCGGTGGTGGTGGTGGTGGTCTTCCCACGCTGGATGGTGAGATCCGGCGTCGACCTACCAGTTGCCTAACGGAGTTTTCCCCAACGGGTATCTCCCACCAGCGGTGGTTTCCCGCTGGGCGGGCACCGTCCCAGCAGAAAAATCTCTTTAGTTCGAATACTATTTCTGTCCACATGACAGATAGCGACTGACAGGGGAGAGGGGGGGCTCCGTTATCCAATCAGGGGCTTCAAGTTCTGATGTTACTCCAGAGTTGGAGATGCTTATTAAGAAAAATATGAAATATTACCGCGCGAACCAACTGAAAATTGAAGAGTGCCTTTACGTGCTTGGTTATGCATAGTGTGCGTGGGTCTGTGTCGTAGACTGCTGTGTGCTATTTTTGAGATTTGTTTCTTGCTACGATTTTGATCTGATGTAAGAACAACCACGTGACTGTCGCCCGAGTAAGGACAACATCGCTATACGCCACCCCCAGCTCTCATGACGTCACGAGGTCGTGAAGATTCATCTGAGTCCATAAGTCCTCCATCATAAAGTGCGCCCTATGCTCGAATATGTTCCAGTCTGGCACGCTCAACATACGTCCAATTTTATTGTTTGTTTCAGCATCAACGATATCCATTACACCCAATGCGTTGGGCTCTAACTTTTCATATGGCAACGCCAATTTAATTCTCATTCATTTTGATTATAATTCACTATTCCCTAACTCTCATGGTGTTTTCTTAAAATATCCAAGTCCTTAATTACAAGAACGTTTGCTAAACTAATCAATTCTATGTAATAACAATTCACTTCAATTATATCTATTATTTCAAGCTATGTCTTTGAATTACTCCGAATGATAGCAATTTACCTCAAATATTATGTATATATTTTGGAAATGCAGTATGCATGCTCACTATAAAAAAACATACTGATCCTTCGAGAAACTATAGTACGTAAGTGGTTGAGTTGGCAGTTATAATAGAGCATCAGCGCATGCAC